TTCCCTTAAGGGACCCAGCACCCCAACCACGATGGTCCTCGCGCCTTGTCCCATTTCCCCTTTTCCTGCTAGACACCCATTCACAGTCTTCCTGCAGTGGGGGTGAGGTAGGTAGAGGCCAGCCATCACTCCTATTGCAAGAACATGGGGAAAATGGGTAATTTTGCAAACATCGTGTCTTAAAAGACACTGGAAAGCTCTAGAAACTAAGAGGGCTGGAGGGAGGAGATCCCAAAGAGGGAAGAGCCACCTTCAGCAAACTGCCATCGTGGCCCTTTCCATCCTTGAGGCAGCTGATGAGTCTGGGCCATGTTTGAGAAGTTGGAGACACAGAAGTGAAGATACTCATGGGGTCCAGGCGGGGGTGCTGACGTGATAGACTGGAAACAAGAGCCCCAAACGCAGGGCATCTGCTCAGTGCTAGGGAAGCATGAACATCCTGGCTGCGTGGCCAGGCTTGCGAGACCTCAGGTCTGCTGCACTTGAGGGAGCTAGGGCTCAACAACCCCTCACCGGCAAGAAGGGCCTAGAGAGCACGCAGCATGGCTCGATTTTGAGATACCAGAAGTGGACGGAGCAGACCTCAGCCTCCCCCAGCACCTCCCCGAACCAGGCTGACTGCGCTGAGGTGATCAGCCCCTTGTCCCGTGTGCCTACAGAAGAAAGGCTCTTCTGTATCTGTGCTTTTTTGACACATGGCGTCTGGCACACCAGTGAAAGCAATCCCGAGCGTGGCGTGCTGTGTTTTCATAGAAGCCCCACGGAGAGCAGCAGGCGCGTCCGGCCTACGCAAGAGGCGAGGGGGCCCAAGAAGTGAGTCCTGAGGATCTCCTTGGCATAGTGCCTGCAACACTGCACACTGACCTCTTGAAGTGTCAAGGACTGTTCGGGTCCACTTGGGGACGGCAGGGGCTAGAACTTGTAATGGCCAGAGCCCGAGGAAGCACGTTTCCGTGGCAGCTGGAGTGGCCTGAGGATGGCGAGGGGGCAGGGTCGCTTCCTTTCATCAGGAAGAGGATTCAGGAATCAGAAAAATATAAAAATGCCACCACTGCAAGGTGCAAGGTACGTAAGTTGACACAACACCGTGTGTGGCTCTTCCTCTGCACTCAGGGTTGGGAAGAGCCAGCAGCCCCCTTCTGGCAACAATATGAAAAATGGGCTGGTTGCCGTTTTCTAAGGACCAGGATCAAAGTCACGTTAGTAGAAAACATACACTTCCACAAGGCTAGAGTGTCTTAATTCTAGAAAAATGATGCTCCTTTTAGTAAGGTGTGCCTGCTTCTTGGATAACCAGAGGAAAAATGGCAACAGCTCTGTGTTGCCGGGGAGTGTGGCTTCCTTCAACACCTGGCCAACCCCAAGGACTCAGCTTTGAAAGAAGCTTCTAGAGACTACTAGGAGAATCAGAGGTGGGGACCAAGGAGTGAGAAAGTACTGACATAGAACACCCTCTCTAAAAGGTCTAGAATCCATGAGGCCTTTTATAACACTCAGAGAAAGTGAGAATAGTTCTACATCTGTTACAGGTCTACTCATATTTACTGTTCTTCAGCTTCTGTATTTTGGTTTTTCCAGAATTTTATCCACTTCACTTAAATAATCTAGTCTATTGGCACACAGTTTTTATATTCTTCCCTTATCATTAAAAAAAAAAATTAAGTGTATAAAAATTTTTTATTTTTTTTAATGTTTTTTATTTATTTCTAGGAGAGAGAGACAGCGTGAGCAGGGGAGGGTGAGAGAGAGAGAGGGAGTCACAGACTGAAACAGGCTCCAGGCTCTGAGCTGGCAGTCAGCACAGAGCCCGACGCGGGGCTCGAACCCACGAACCGCGAGATCATGACCTAAGCGAAAGTCGGACGCTTAACCGACTAAGCCACCCAGGCGCCCCTATCTCTTCGAACTTAAACTTGAGGCTCTAGTCTGGCACAGCTGGGCAGTCTGCCACACAGTCATGTTCTTCCCAACTCTGCCTCAGTGCACTCTGCGTTAGGCCTCCAACACGGGTATCTAAGCAGCTGGCATTTTCAGGGTGGCCCCCTACTCACCTGTGTCCCCCAAGTGTCTGACATATGTGCCACTCCTCCCACAGAGAGGTCACTGGCCAACTCAGATTTCCCTGTGGACATCTCCTTCCTGTTTCTTTGGTGGCCTGGCTGGTTCACACCCCTGGGGACTTCCCGGTGAGACTGGGATGTGTCCTTCTCCATGGAGCACAGGGAGAGACAGAAGACAGGGGTGGGCCCCCTCTACTTCCGTGAGCGGCAGGTGTAATGAGCAAGGGGCCTTACTTACAAGGCTGATCTTTCAGCTGCAGGATGCCATCTCCCTAATCCCAAACAAACTGAAGCCCCATTCCCATTTGGAAAGAGGACTGAGGCTGGTCCAGAGAATTTAGCCAATTCTTAACGTAGCTATTTCTCAGTCAGTCTGAAAGTAACAGATTACACGTTTACTTCCCAAACCTTTTTTTAACAACAACAAAAAAATTCCAACATACTAAAAAGTTGAAATAATTTTACATCTACTATCCATATACCCACCAGCTATACCCTACTGTTAGTATTACTGTAGTTGTGTAGTCATATGTAGCCCTTTCAATCTATTCGTTTATGGAGGCTTTTTTTTTTTTAATTTTTTTAATGATTTATTTCTAGGAGAGAGAGAGAGAGAGAGACAGCGTGAGCAGGGGAGGGTCAGAGAGAGAGGGAGTCACAGACTCTGAAACAGGCTCCAGGCTCCGAGCTGGCAGTCAGCACCGAGCCCGATGCGGGGCTGGAACCCAGAACCGAGAGATCATGACCTGAGCCGAAGTCGGACGCTTAACCGACTAAGCCACCCAGGCGCCCCTAAAGTGTTTATTTCTGAAAGACAGCGTGAGCAGGGCAGTCAGAGAGAGGGAGACACAGAATCTGTCAGCACAGAGCCCAACACGGGGTCTGAACCCACGAACCGGAAGATCATGACCTGAGCCAAAGTCGGACGCTCAACCCACTGAGCCACCCAGGCGCCCGCCCCTCCCTTATCATTTTAATTTCATAAAGTCAGTAGTGCTCTTTTTCACTTTCCTGATTTCAGTAATTAAATTTTTCCTCTTTTCTCTATTTGGTCAGTGCAGTTCTGCCCTGTGTTGATCTTTTCAAAGAACCAACTTTTGGTTCTGTAGTTTTCCTCCACTGCTTTTCTGTTTTCTATTTATTCTTGCCCTAGTCAATATTTTTGTCTCTTAGTTTGCTTTTCTTTTCTCATTTCTTATGGCCAAAGGCTAGACCCAAGACATCTTTTTTTTTTTTAATACGGGGGTTTTGTCATATATTTCCCTCCTCCAAGCGCTGCATTCGCTGCCAGCACACCAGCTTTAGTATAGGTTTTTCTTTTCATCCACAAGCATCTTATTTCTCACGATTTTCTCTTTGCCCCGTTAGTTACTGCGGACAGCTGCTTCATGTCCACACAACTGTTGACTTTCCCGTTTCCTTCCTTTGCCGATTTCTACTTTAGTTCTGTAGACCGCAAGATGGAGTCACTCCTGCCTAGTTGCGGTGTAACCGGGGAAGCCGAGGAGCGCAGAGCTCACCCAAACCAGCGCAGACCGGCGGAACGAAAGCCTGATAACCCGCAGGGCCACGGAGCCTGAAGAGCCCGGCGCCGATGATCGCTGGAGCCGAAGGAGATCTGGAAAGACCTACGGCTGATTAAATTCCTTTAAAAAGGGAGGCGTTCCGCAGCCAACCTTCAGACTCTCCAGACGCTGGCACTTCCCGCCCTCCCCCGCCCCCCAAACCAAACCGACGTCTGGGACTTGGGAGCTGCCGCGGGGACTCGGCCCGACGGATCCCTGAACCCAGCAAGGCGCTGCCCTGCTCCAGGAGCGAGCGGCGTGCGGCGGCGGCGGACTCACTTCGCACCAGACCCGGGCTTCATCTCTACCGGCTTTGCCGCCGGCTCATGAACTTCTTACCCCTTGTCCTCTCTCGTCTGCCGCGGGTCACCTACTACACTTTACGTGACTCGCAGGAGGCCAATTCCAACGCGCAACACAATGTCCCCGAGCCTGGAACCCTGAAGCTGCTGTGCAACTGCTACCATGGCTTTACGACTGAGCGAAGCTGACTCCGCAGAGACCCCACTCCTGTCCGCGCCTGTAAGGCGCGCTCAGGGCGAGCTCCGCTGGGGCGGGACACCGGGCGAGGTCTGACTTCAGTCCTTTTACGTGGTCTTCGCGCTGGGCTACGTGCTAGCACACACTGTGCCCTGCGAAGGGGCGCTGCCACTCGGGGCGAGCGGTGCCCAGAGGCCGCGCGCCCTCGCTCTCCCTCCCCTCTGCCCCGGCTGCCTGCCCCCTCTGTCCCTTCCCGCCTCACGCACCGCGAGGCCCAGCTGCCGGGGTCCGGCCCCGCGCGGCCAGCGGCCAGGCTGCACCCGAACCCCGAGCACCCTGAGCTCCGAGCGCCGTAACCCCGCAGTCCGCCGACGAGCTGGGCGGGGCGCCCACCGCCCTCTGACCCCGGATGGCGAACGGCACGCCGGGCCCGCAGCTCCCGGATATCTGCGTTGCATGCCGGGACTCGCAGTCTCCAAAATGGGCCTTGTCACGTGACTGGGCTGCGAAGAGCGCCTCGCGCGGCATGCCGGGACTCATAGTTTAACGACCCTGGGCCTCCGCGCACCAAGGGAGTTGTGGGACAGGGGAGCGCGCGGCATGCCGGGATCCAGAGCACGCCGGGAGGGGGTGGTGATTCGCAGTGCATGCTGGGGTTTCTGGGCAGCGGCGCGCGCTGCACGCCGGGACCCGCAACCCCACGCCGCCGGCGCCCCCGGGGCACATGGGGCGAGGTCACGCTGTTCCCGTCGGGCCGGCCCCGCATGCTTCCGCCCAGGACGCGGCCGGCATCCGCGGCCGGCGCGACAGCCTCTCCGGGCCCCGCGTAGGCGTGTGTTTACACGCAGGCCCCGCGGCGCACGCACGCGGCGTCACGCGACGTCAGACGCTGTCCCGGAAGTTGGCGCGGGCCGGGCGGCGGGTGGAAGCCGGTGCCGGAGCGCGAATTGCAGCGCCGTCGCCTTCACCGCCCGGGCTGAGGTTGCCGGCCCGCCCGCCCGTCTGCGATGGGGACCGGGCCCTGAGCGCCCCGCCAGCCTCCCCTTTCCACAGCGACCCCGCCCGGCCGCGATGGAGGCGCCTTCAGCGGCTCCCCTTCCCGCCGAGGGTGGCCCGCCGGTGGCCGTGGCCGAGGTGCGCTGCCCGGGCCCCGGGCCGCTGCGCCTGCTCGAGTGGAAGGTGGCGGCGGGCGCGGCCGTGCGAATCGGCTCCGTGCTGGCCGTGTGTGAGGCCGCCGCTTCCGCGCCGCCCACCGGTCCCGCCCCTGCCCGCGCCGGCTCCGGGGGCTGCGTGCGAGCAGAGCGCAGGCTGAGGTCCGAGCGCGCCGGCGTGGTGCGGGAGCTGTGCGCGCAGCCGGGCCAGGTGGTGGCCCCCGGGTGAGTGGGGCCGTGGGGGCGGGATCTGGAGCGGGGCCGGGCCGGGCGCGGGGCAGGAGAGGGTCCCCGGTGCCGCAGCTAGAGGGATTGAGCTCGGGAGCACTTTGTTCGGTGGGTCGCCGCAGCTGCGTGTCTTTCTAAATAAAGCTGGCGGACAGTCACTACCTGTGATTTAATCAGTTCGAAGCATTTGACTTAAAAAGTTTTCAGCTGCCAAAGTTGCAGTCTTTAAAAGGAGGTGTGTCCGACTTTCTGTAACAGGTGTTCCCCCGCCCCGCCCCCCGTCCCCACGGCTCCGCGTTTGTAGGTCAGCTGCACGGCGAGCACGGGACGATCGGGCACCTCCACGCTGGTCATCGCGGTGTAAACTGCGAGGGGTGGGGTGCGCATCTTTAGCTTCTCGTAAAGCCTGGGAAACGCGGTTGTAAAGCCGGGTGCAGTTCTGCATCAAAGCTCTGGGGGGTGCAGCTTCAGCCCAGACGGTTCAGGGTAACAAGTAGTACGGACGTTAGTGCGTTTCCCCGTGATGGACTCTGGCTGTTGATATCTCCGTTTTCTCGTGAAGGGACTTTTCTCTTTCTAAGGGGGCGAGCCTGTGCACCCACACCTCGCGTCTGACTTTACCAGTGTTGTGCTCTGAGATCGGGTTGGTGTGTGGGTCCAGGTGTGTACACATGACTCACGTGGTTGTTTTCATTGTCTGGAGCAGAACCCCGGGCCGGTGAGGGATCCTGCTTCCTGCTGTAGCGCTGGTGCGCAGCTTCCTGCTGCCCAGGGCACCGCGCGTCTCAGGTGCCCGTCCCCTTGGGCGCAGCCTGGTCCTCCAGTTGTGCCGTGTGCTCTGGCTCTGCTCCTCCTCTGGGGCTTGCGCTGCCTCTGCAGCTGTTGAGAATCTGCCCCCCTCCAATAGGACGGGGTGGGACTGGCCTCCATCCCATCCCAGGAGCCCCTACCTGTGTCCACTTCTCCCCTCTCATTGTTTGGAGTCGGCACTCTGGTCCTTGGCCTTTGGGTAAGGTGCCCATGCCTGCCCAGCAAGCACAGGGGCGATGGGGGCTGCCTCGGGGCTGCACCCTCCCCTGGGGCCGTCTGGGGGCCTCCTGCGGAAGGGAGGGCCTCCCCGGGCTGCATATGGCACACTGTGGTGCGCGTGCCATCCTCATTACTTTGAAGTCAGAGCTTAACCTGACTGCGATTGACCGTATAAACCCGTGAGCCCGTGTTGTGGAGGTGGAGCCCAGTGCTGCTGTAGAAAGCTGTGTAGAAAATTCCGGAGGTGAAAAGCTCTTCGTGTCCTTGTCTTCCTCCGATTATACGTAGAGGGCCCCTGAGGCCCAGCGAGGTCAGGCACTGGTTTGTCTGTCCCTCCCGTCATACAGAAAAGGCTTAGGGCCCAGGCAGGTCAGGGACTGGTTGCAGTCAGTGAGAAACTCCACGTGTGGGGCTTTGACACCATCACCAGACGAGCAAATCAGGGCGCCCCAACGCGTGGATCCCGCCAGTCAGCAGAGGAACTTAACCTGATGACAAGTTCTCAGTGGTGAGTATTTTAGTGTTTGAGGTTTAGGGTCCTTGCTGCCGTGGTCCATCAGGAGGGTCTCTGCAGACCGGACGGTGACGTCACTCCTGGCGCGCAGGGGCGAGTGGCACGGGTGAAGCCCGGTTGCAGCCAGGCGCACCGAGCCCCGTCGCTGGCACCTCACCACCCCTGCCGTATCCACCATCCAAGCAGGGGTACTTTCTTGCTTCTTTTGGGACGTAGTTCCAGACCTGGAGAAAAGTTGCAGGAATAGTACCAAGAATTCCCTTGTACGTGTCGCACGGGTTTCCTAAAGGTCACCGTGTGCCACCTCTGCTCCACCCTCCCCACCCCGCACACAGTGTTTTTTCCCTCGAGTTGAGAGTACGTCGTGGATGTGATGCGCTTTATCCCGAAATATTTCAATTTCCCCCAGAAACATCCTCTTTCCTAAGCATGGCGCCGTGGTCAGAATCAGAAACAACGTCCCTGCTGGGCTGTTTTCTGCTCTTTGGATTCCCTGATGGGCCAGTAACATCCTTGGAAGCGGAGGAAACCCCGGTCCCGGGGGAGGCTCAGCCGGCAGAGCCCCTGGCTCTCTAGCCTCGAGCGGTACCTCTGTCTGCTCCTCCGTTTTCTTCTCCTCGGCGTCCCTTCCGATGGCGGTGTGCCTTCGGGCGGGGCTGCCAGGCGGCGGTGGCTTCGGTCTGTGCCGTTCTGGCTCGTTAAGGTGGTGTCTTGGTGAAAAGTTAATTCTCTTGTCACTGTTAAAATCATGTGAGAGGCATTTTATTACTCAGGAAATCTCCTAAGTTCCCTCATCACGTGGCCGCCCGTCATTTTCGGCAACTTGAGGACTCTTGTCTGACTTCTCTGTTTTTTATCGGGATTGTGCAGCGGTGATCTCCTCATCTCTTCGTTCCGGCTCCGTTTCTGGGTCGGCTTCCTGCTGTAAGAACACTTCACCGCGTGCACTCTGCGTTCTCATCTGTCCAGCGGATGGCGGTCCGTTGCCAGCGTCCGTCCAGGTTGGGTCGGAGGGAGCGCCTCACGCGGGCTTGTCTGGTGAGGCGCCGTCGGTCCGAGAGCACGGCCGCGTTTTCTGACGCACACGGTACCTGGGCTCTGGAACGGCCCCCCTCTCCGAGAAATTGTGCTTCCTTTTAGTGGAGAATGACGTTTAGGAACCAAGGCCCGGGTGCACAGGTCTCATTTTGCCCGGTGCCCTTTGTCTGCTGAGCAGCTCTGTGTTTGGCGCCCGCGGCCCTGACCTGAGAAGGAAGATGGAGGGTCAGACCCAGCGTTCGACGGCGCTGGCCCCGACCAGCATAGAGCTCAGGGTGCCCCGCTTCCTCACACCTCACTCTTCCTGTGCCCTCTGACCTTCCCGTCGGAGCAGACACACAGCTGACGCGTGCAAAACCTTCAGGAGAGTTCGCTGTCTGTGTGCGTGGGGGGAAGTTACCTCTTCAGAAATTGCATTTCGTGGTTTTCCTACAGATTTTTTTTTCAAAGACAAACCCAGAAAGATAACATTTATTGTGATGGACTTGCCGTTCCGGGGCCGGTCTCCTTGTTTTCTCTAAGGCCACAGTGGCCCCTCCCCACAGGGTGCGGGGTACACACCAGGGTTATTGCCTGCCGTTCACCCATCTTGCGTCAGTATCTGCAAAGGTGAAATCATGTTGTACCGAAAAAGGGCATTACTGTTACCTTTTTATAATACTTTTTCTTTCTTGGGGCACCTGGGTGGCTCAGTCGGTTAAGTGTCTGACTTTGGCTTTGGCTCAGGTCATCATCCCGTGGTTCGTGGGTTCGAGCCCCACCTTGGGCTCTGTGCTGACAGCTCGGAGCCTGGAGCCTGCTTCAGATTCTGTGTCTCCTTCCCTCTCTGCCCCTCCCCTGCTCATTCTTTGTCTCTCAATAATAAAAACATTTAAAAAAAAATTTTTTTAATACTCTTTCTTCTCTCAGCCATTCCATTACTTTTCTTGAGAATTCTTTTAGCCCTTGCAGAGATGCCAAAGTCATCCACGGACAGCGTCGGCGTCTGCTCTGACCCGCAAGACGGTTCTGAGTGGCCTTTTAATTCATACAGAAAATAGGGTCTCTTTACGCTCCTTTTAATTTAGACAGGGTGTTTCTGAACTGTTGTACCCCAGGCCACGTGTGATGTTGGTGTGGCCGAATGGGAAAGGGTGGGACACAACATTTCATTGCCTTGGCCGCACGTGTCTGTCCTTTGTGATAGTCACTAACTGTCATGTGCTGCACTTGGGCAGTGCTGTGTGTCCTGTGTGTGCACTGTGTGTGTTGGGTGTGTCCTGTGTGTGCGCTGTGTGTTTTAGGTGTGCACTGTGTGTGCACTATGTGTGCCGTGTGTGTCCTGTGTGTGCACGCTGTGTGTTTGCAGCTCTGAGTCCCTGACCCGCCCTCGGCTGCAGAAACTCCAGGAACCGGCCTGGAGTGCAGGCCCGCGGCTGGGGCGGCACCCAGCATCTGTTGCTTTGTCTGTCCCTTTGTCCGTGGAAGACCTGTGGCCCTCCCTTGTGCGGGCGGGGAGACTCATGACTTTCCTCCTCTTCCCCCCAGCCTGGCAGATGTAGCCTCCGCATCCCGCACGGGTCTGTGGCAGCGGGTTTCTGACATGCTTGCGTTGGGGCCGCTTTGCTAGATTGTAGCTCGTTGTGTTTTCTGATTTGGGCAGTCTGAGAACATCGCAGGACTTCTTATTTTGCGTTTGATGACCTGTGTACCTCCTCTCCCTACACTCGTGCTGCGCAGACCCGCCCACCTGTGGTAGGTGGCTGTGTGCTGTGCCGCGCCCACCCCCACGATAGGTGAGAGAAATGTGACAGACGTTGCCAGGGTGAATTCAAAGGGAGATCTCGTGTTTAACGCTAGTAAATGGAGGATTCCCTGTTAGCGCTCACGAGTACAGAGTTCCGAACTCTGAGCGCCGCGGGTCGCTCTTACACGTCAGGAGAGACGTCAAGCTTCAGAATGAGGCATCTAATGGGGGGGGGGGGGTAAGTTGATTTGCAGGTCGTTCACGTATCTCTTACATGTGTCACACGATTAACGATGTGTAGTATCTCCACGGAGGGAGCCCTCTGGGTGTGGTGCCCGTTTCGTGTGCCAATCGTTCAACGTTAAATATTCTTTTCAGGTGTTTTGGGTCATTTGAGTCGTCCTGTAAGTACCTTGGAGAGCAGGCCCCCCCCTCCCCCCCCACCGTGCTTGCTTCCTGGCTGTCACCGACTGCTTTCCTCTTGTGGGTGGAGGCTGCTAGCCCTGGGGTCTGCGAGGGGCCGCCCTGTGCACAGGAGGGGCCTGCCGTGTAGACGCCCACAGTGCCCCCAGGTTGTGACAGCCAGACGTGTCTCGAGGCCCAGTTTCCCGTGAGGAGCACATGCCGCTGACTGAGCCCTGATCTGCTCTGTGGAATAAGACAGGCAAAGTTCTTTGACCGCAGCACAGAAAATTACTTGACTGTTAGCGTCATTTGTAGGCAGAAGACTCTGTAGAGAAAAGCACACGTTTGGGCCATGTTGCCAAGGTGTATGGAGCGGTTAGTGTGTGCCCCCAGACCTGCGCCCCTTCGTCCCCGCCTGCCTCCCGCTTGCCTGCTAGGACACGGGGACAAGCGGACAGAGCAGGGACCCCCGGCGCAGCCTGGCGCAGGGCATCGTGCCCGCACCCAGAGCGGTGGGAGCCGGGAGGGCTTCTGGGAAGAGGTGTGGCTCTGGAGGTGGGTCCAGTGCAGGCTGGTCTGAGCCGAGGGAGCCCCCGTGTTGAGGGGGACCTCCAGCAGCGCTCGGGGGCACACCACCGGCCAAGCACGTGGGACCTGAGTGGCCATGGAGTGGCATGCGAGGTCCTAGGCCTCTGCGGGGTGACAAGAAGGCCCGTTGCCATCACGCTGGCTGTCAACGCTGGACGGCACGCCTGCCATAGCCTAGGTTGCTCTGCGTGGGTGACGCGCACAAAGCCCCCCCACCCCCCGCCCCCGGTGACTGGATGGTGCTGGGGGTGCAGGTGCCCAGGGACCAGCCACATGCTCCTCTCTGCCTCGAGGCGGTGCTGTGCCCCGGCCCCCTGGAAAGGCCACCAGCAGCTCTTCACCAAGTCTGGTGGCCTTGGCCTCATTCGTTGGTGGTCTGCGGGTACCAGGCGTGCTTTCTGAGTGTGTGGCGTGGGGAGTTCTGACAGACGTGTGTGCCCTGGACACTGCAGCAGTCAGGACGTGGACATCTCCGTCCGGTGCGCGTTAACGCCGTCCGGTCGTCCGCTTTCTCTTTGGGCCATTTAACACTGAGACTCCTTTACTTTCTCAGAATGTTCCCTCCTGGGTGTCTGCTGTGGGCCTGGCTCCTCAGCCTCTGTGAGCACTGATTTCTTGTTTCAATTGGCATTCTTTTTTCTGCCCAGCCCTTAATTGTTGGGGTTCCCCAAAGGCCTGCCATCTGTTTTATTCGCGTTGGATAAGCCCTGGCCTGGGATACGCAGCCCACGAGACCTGTACCGGCCCTGGTCCCGCCCACGTGCAGGCACGCGTCCACCTGTGTTGCGGCTGCGGGTGCCTGCGCCTCCCTCGCTCTGATTTCCAGGCAGACTTCTCCTTCTTGTCCCCGGTCCCCGGCAGGTTCACTCCAGGAATGTCCGCGCGTGTCCACAGCACCCCTGTGTCCCTCAGCTCACGCTTCTCCCGCCATCCCCTGCCGGCGCTGGCGCACTCAGAGCGGCTCTGCCCGCCCACACCCGGCACCCTCGTGGCACCACCTGTGGGTCCTCTGTGCTGCCTGCCGTCCGGGTTCTGCACCTGTTGGTCTCAAATCTGACGCTTTCCGTGTCCCTCTTGGCTAGGGAGGTCTGGAGCCAGCATGGCTCACCTGCGTGACTTCCCCTTAGCACCCCTCCATCCCGCACCTGCTTCCTTGTCATTTGTCACGACCCTCCTGTCACCCTGCGGGGGGCTGTCCTGGAAGCTTCCTTCTCCCGAAGGAGAGTTAATCCTCTAGAATTAGCTGCCCCCTCGAGACTCACCTTGACCCCCGGTGACCTGGGTGAGACCAAGATTTCTTAAGGACACAAATCGTCTGGTAAATTGGACTGGATCAAAATTTAAAACCTGATCTCCAAAAACCACCGTTAAATGAGAAGGCTGACGACCACTGGAAACGCACACCTCACTAAGTGTTTCCACCTGCTTATTGCTTGAGCTGGAGACCCCAGATGTGCCTTCAGCTTAACGTTTTAGGACAGGTTGATGAACCACCCCCCCGCCCCGGCCCATTTTGGGGATTCCTGAAGAAAATATTTCCTGGCTGTGAGTTTGAGTACAGAAGTGAGCGCGGTGGGTAAGTGCACACTGACGGGTACGTGTCGCGCCTGCTGCCGTGTCCACACAGGAGGCCGCCCAGCAGGTCGTACGGCGCCTGAGACCGGAACCCTTCCATCGCTGGTGCCTGGGTGGCCTGCGCCTTCTCTAGGTCCACAGAACCTGTAATTAAAACGCGGGCAGCATCAGCAGTTTTAAAACCTGCCCTGGCATACAGAGGGCCGCCAGCGGCTTTTTGCCCGGGTCCGGAGGCTGACAGACCCTTCAAAAAAAACACAGCAGTCAGCAGTTGATCTGCATCTCTGACTTTTTGGAAAGCGCACGCCAGTCCTGTCGCCCGACTGTCACCTTTCTGGGCCCCTTGCTTCCCCACCTGCATGCGGGAGGCAGGACGGGGGAGGAGGGGGCGGGACCCAGGCAGGACAGGCCGGCTCCCGGAGGGCGACTCCGTGGAGGGCGTGTCCCTCGAGTGGCAGGAGCCAAGCCGGGTGTCTGAGGGTGGATTCAGCCGTGCCTGCCATGAGGCCTGAACTGCGGCAGCCACTTGGTGGGGGTGGGGTGGGGTCTTCTGCAGGGATCGGAGCGGGGACCGGGGCTGGTGGGGGAGGTGCCACGGGGCCAGCAGGTGGGGAAGGCCAGCCCCACATACAGCCCGGAACCTGGTGGTACAAGGCTGAAGAAACGCAGGGCACCCAGAGGAGGTGGGCAGCAAGCAGGGGTTCCCCAGTGCCTGCGGGCAGGAACGGGAAGCAAAACACATCCTTGAGGGGTGCTGTCCAGACAGGGAGGGCTTCCAAGGGCTTCCCGGTGGGCTGCAGGGCCGCGTGGCGGAGGGTTAGGGGGACGGGGCGGACCCCAGGGGGCGGTTGTGACGGTGCCAGTGGGAGCACCCTTAGGGGAGGGAGACGTGGCAGAGCACACCCCCAACCCGCACCGCGGTCTGCACTCAAGAGAGCTGCCGGGCTTGGCCCCCGGGGGCGTCGGGGCGCCGTGTCCCTGGTTGGGAGCAGCACACGTGCGCAGGAGGGAAGGAGGCCCCTGTGTGGGGTGCCGGCCCAGGAGGAGTTCGCCCTGGGAGGCCGTTTGCCGTCCAGAAGCTCCCGGGCAGTCAGGGTGGCCGTCCATGTGGCCTCATTTTGTGAGGAAGCCCCCTCAAAGGTCCCCTTTCCCAGATGCTGCCCCGCCCGGGGCCTGGGTGGGGATCAGGAGACCCTGTGGTCCCGAGTTACAGGGCCTCCGCAACTCTGACCGCACGGCCTCTAGGTTCGTATGGAGATTGTGGTTTGTACTTGTGAAAACTGGAAACATTAAAGCAGTTCCATCAGGTAGGTTTCAGTGGATCACAGTTCTCCGTAGACTGGGAAGGGCATTTGGGGGCCACCACTTGTTATCTGTGGGCGCTGTACCAGCGTGCTCCTTAACTGTGTTGGCGTGAGTCTCCGCGTTTATTGGTTGTTCCTCAGAAAGCTGAGAGCACAGACATTTCACGGGCCCTAAGTTTTCATATCACCCCAAGCCTGCTCTCCTGACAGCTAATCCTTCTCGCTGTTGCTCGTGTGGTTCTGGGTGGCCCGCACAAGGGAGACCCGTGGGCGAGAAGCCCTCCTTTCCAGCCCCGGAAGTGGCGCCCCCAGCGGGTGCAGGGCCCCAGCTTGGGTGGGGGTCACCGTCGGCTTGTGTGGTGAACCAGGGATTGTGCTGCCCCTTCCTCATGTGGGACTGTCTTCCTCTCTGTTTCTAGGGCGGTCCTGCTGCGGCTGGAAGGCTGTAGCCACCCGGTTGTCATGAAAGGCTTGTGTGCCGAGTGTGGCCAGGACCTAACCCAGTAAGTCCTGGCAGCCGGAGGGTGGAAGGCGGTGCGTCTCTGCATCTGCGGTGAGGGTTCCTACAGGCACAAAGGGGCACAGGCGGCCTCCGTCACCCTCCTGTGTCTGGCGGCTCAAGGCGGGCTCCTGGGGAGGTGTCCTTTCTGGCTTTATTTCCATAAGTCCCGGAAGCACAGAGCACGTCGGGTGCTCATGACTTGGCTCGGTTTGCTTTCTCCTCCCCGCCAAGCACACTGCACATCCTCCCTAGGCCCCCCCGGGGCCCCTGGGCTCCTTAACCACCAGTGGCGTGCGATCACGCTCATTGTCCACGCAGAGCAGCGCTGACTGTCCTGTTTGCATGTTTGAGGGTCTCTGTTACAGTGTAGCCATCGCAGTTCATTTCCAAGAGAACTTTTGTATTTTTTGAGAACTTCCCAGCCTGTTTTCAGACACTAGGCGGCATTTCAGCAGCTGTCTGCAGAAGGAAGTTCCACGCTGAACTAGCAGTGAGCAGCGCCTGAAGTGCAAATTAAAATCCTACCTTCGAAGCCCCCAGGTGCTTTCTGGGTGCAGGTCATGGGGTTCGCACGGTCCTGCATGTGTGTTGTGTGCACTTCATTCAGGGAGCTCACGTCTGGCCCTTCTCATGTGTGCAGGTTGCAGAGTAAGAACGGGCAACAGCAGGTGCCCCTGTCCACGGCCACGGTGTCCATGGTGCACAGCGTCCCAGAGCTGATGGTGAGCTCCGAGGTGAGTCCCGCCTCTAGCAGGGGCGACGTCTTGGAGAAAACACGTCCTGAGAGCAGCAGGGAGCAGGTGTGGGCTCGTGCCGTGCACCGGACGTTTGCAGGATGTAGCGGGTCTGTGAGCGCCGTCATTTCTGAGCTAGCTGCTTGTGGGACCAGAGGGGTGTGGGCAGCGCGCCGGCTCCCTGCTCCTCTCCCTTTCCCAGAGGCCTCTGCTCCCTGGGGGCATGCCAGCCTCCTGGCCGCCGAGCCAGAGCTTTCCGGGGTGCTGTGGCTCACGTGGTGCCCCGGGATGTGGCTTGGAAGCAGTGGGTCCCAGAAGCTGAACAATGGCAAGGCCAGAATCTGCCAGAAGCTGCAGAAGTGGGGCTCAGGGAGGGCTGGGAGCAGGTGGCTGTGCACGAGGTGGGCAGCGTCGGACCTGAGTGGACGTGGGGGCAGGGCAGAGGCGGGAAAGCACGCCTGCACCGCCCTTCTGTGGGGCGGCCCCCGGGCGGCCCCATCCCCGCAGACCTGGTCCTGAAACCGTCCTTAACTTCTCTTTGTTTCAAGATCACATGGGGAGTGTTGGTCGGGGCGTCCTGAAACCTCGCTTTCATAGGCCAGGCGCAGATGTTGGGTGAGGGAAAGGCGCCAGGACGGAGCCCCGACAGGTCGCACTGGGCTCAGCTCTCAGTGGGATGTAGACGGGAGAAACATTTTTCAGTCATGGATTGATTAGATTTGTGCTTTTTTTTTTTTAATGTTTTTCTAATTTATTTTTGAGAGACAGCGTGAGCAGGGGAGGGTCAGAGAGAGAGGGAGACACAGAATCTGAAACAGGCTCCAGGCTCTGAGCTGTCAGCACAGAGCCCGACGCGGGGCTCAAACCCATAAACCATGAGATCGTGACCTGAGCCGAAGTTGGACGCTTAACCGACTGAGCCCCCCAGGCACCCCAGGATTTGTGCTTTTTAAAAAGTTAGTTTAAATTCTAGTTGGTTAACATATGGTGGAGGATTGGTCTCAGGAGTCGAAACCGGTGATGCCTCACTTACGTACGACACCCAGTGCTCACCCCAACACGCGCCCTCCTTAATACCTGTCCCCCATCCAGCCGTCCCCACCACCTCCCCTCCAGCAGTCCTCAGTTTATTTTCTGGCCTTAAGAGTCTGTTATGGTTTGCGTCCCTCTCTGGTTTTGTGGACACAACCATTTTCTTTTCATCTCTTTCTTCATTGGTTTACATATTAACTTACAGACTTAGGATCACAAATCATAGTGTCACCCGAGTTTGGGCCCAGTGGGGAGCTGGGGGTGCCTAGCCTAGGGTGTGGCAGCGTGGCCCCATGAGCCGTGTTAGTCTGCAGAGAGCCTCAGAGATCCTCTCGACTTCCTTTCGTTTTTCCTCACAAAACTGAATTTTGTTTTGCATGCAGATCTACTTAACCATTTTCCTTTCCATTCCGCTCAGCAAGCCAAGGAGCTGGGAATGGAGGACCAGCAGCGGCTGCACCGGAACAGAAAGCTGGTGCTCATGGTCGACTTGGACCAGACGCTGATCCACACGACAGAACAGCATTGCCAGCAGATGTCGAACAAGGTGAGCGGCCCCGGCAACTCCTCGGCGAGGCTGCTTGGGCTCAGGAGGCCGGGGGCGGGGGCAGGAGCCCAGGCCACGCTCCCAGGGCGGGCTCCCCGAGCTGGTCCTCACCGGGAGCCGCCAAGGCTCACTCACCTCCTGGCTCACTCGGGCCCCTGGTGCCGGGAGCACACGTCATCATGTGAGTCGGAAGGTTGAGGGCTCGGGACCCGGAAGCTCTGGTCCCGGCGGCGGGCAGCGGGCAGGTGGGCGGGGTGGCAAAGGAGGTGTGGTCCTGGAGGGGTCGACGAGCCGGTGGCACCTGCGGGAATGCCTGAGATGCTAGGGGTGGGGGTACGAGTGGGTACCTGGGTCTGCGCTCAGGACTGCAGATGGGGCTGCGGCCACCTTGCAAAAGTTCTTCCGGAGAATTAATTTTTCAGAGAAAGTGAAGGGCCGGGACGGTGCCCTGTTGAAGTGTACGTTGAAACTCTTCCCACGTTTCACTTCTTTCCTTTGTGTGGAACCTGGGGGCTTGCTTTCCGGCCCCGTCACCGGGCGTTTGAGCGTGCCAGTTGTGCCTGTTCCGAATGGCTGTCCGGGGCTGGCGCCAGCTTCTGCGTCCTTGACGAGGAGGCCTCGCCAGCACGGACGTGATCAGGTGTCTCAGTTCTTTGCGGTGGAGGTTGACATGCAGACGTCCGTTCCTAGCTGTGGCCGAGCGTGGCAGCAGGGCCCCGGGACGGTCGTGTGTTGGGGGAGGGGGGGTGCCGCTGACCTTCCCTGGAGCAGGCTTGACCGTCTCAGTTTGGCTTCGTGTGTAAATCCCGTGACCCAGGCGCACACGTGGGCCATCCCCGTTGGTCCCGTAGGCCACCACGCCCAGGCCACGGAGCTGCCTCCACCGCTGCCGCGTACATCGCTGAGGAGTGCGAGGGGTGCTCTCGTGCTTGGGAGCAGCGAGCTTGTCCTTGAGCAGGGTCCTTGTCGCTTCAGTCCTGCCCCCATTAAACAGCGCGCGCGTGTGTGTGTTTGTTTTAAGTTTGAGAGTGAGCTAGCAGGGGAGGGGTGGGGTGGGGAGAGAGGGAGAGAGAGAGACACTCCCAAGCAGGCTCCACACTGTCAGCACAGAGCCCAGCACGGAGTTCAGTCATGACCTGAGCTGAAATCAAGAGTCAGACACTTAACCAACCCAGCCACCCAGGCACCCCAGCAGCGTGTAATTTTTAATAGTATTAGCTATTTTTTTATATTGTGAGATCTTGGATGGCTGTGTATTTTTGTGTGCAGCATAAGGTGTTCATAAGCACTCTGAGGTTATTTCATTCGTAACAATTCCGCTTAATTATCTTACAGTTGGAGGACTTTAGGGGCGCTGGGGGCTCAGTCGGTTGAGCATCTGACTTTGGCTCAGGTCATGATCTCACAGTTCGTGAATTCAAGCCCCGCATTGGATTCGTTACTGTCACTGCAGAGCCCACTTCGGATCCTCTCTCCCTCTCTCTCTGCCCCTCTCCTTCCCTTCCATCTCTTTCTCTCAAAAAATAACAGTTAAAAAAAAGAGTTGGAGAATTTTATGTGAAGAGTTTCCACACATACGTGCTTGTGTGTACGTCGCCACAGCTGGCTCTGGCCTTCATTGTGCCTTTGAAGTCGGCACTTTTAATTGATTTCACAAAAGTTTAAACTCGTAATCTGCCTATTCTCAGCTTGTGTGGCCTACACAGCAAAGCTTTCCTCCCGTCTGCACGGACAGGCCTCAGCTGTGGGGGGCCTTAGCGGGTCCCATTCCTGCACGCACCCACAGCCTACCCACGGGCCCGGCTTCCCTAGAGCTCTGCCTGGCACCCAGGTGCGCACCCACACACCTGCCGGCACGTCTAGAAAGACCCGTTTGATTCGTAACTTTGGAGATCCGAACTTGTGTTTTTAAGGACATTTATATTGCACCTGTGGAGGAAGGGACCGTGATTTCTAGAATTCCAGGCTCCCAAATATTTTAACACAACAGCTGCTTCATGAAGGGGTTGACCACTTTAGAGCTAGTAAAAAGTTAATTGAACCCAAGGTCGCTTACTTTTTTTTTTAGTGTTTCAGAGTTATTTTACTGAGAAAATGAATGATAAACAAGGATTAAAAGGATCAAAGCTTAGCTGCTTAAGGAAAGTAAGTTTAATTGTATATTAATGACACATGGCTCCTTGGTGTTCCTAATATCGTTTACTGAAAGTGTTTGAAATACCATTTCAGGTTTTGTGATCACTTCTCCGCCTTTTGGCTAAGATCAAGTGCAGGTTTTGTGCTGCATTGTGAGTTAGTAAACCAGCATCTTAAAGCAGTTGCCGGGCCAGTCTGTGGTACCTGGGACTGTAGGGTTCACTCCGTCAGGACACGGGGCATCGTGCGCCATCACTGGAGACCTGTTCTAAGTGACCCGCTGCGGCTGTGCTACTCGACAAGTGTTAGTGTCTGAGGACACGGAGAGTTCCCGTGCTCTCTCAGAGACCCTTGCTCTGCCGTTGTCAGAGGCAGTGTCAGGATCTGCCAGTGGCGCTGACCCCGTGGTCACCATACGTGGTCACCGTGCTGGGTCGTCAAGGGCAACGACGTGGGTGGTTACCGTGGGGGGTGGGGGCGTGCGTCTGGAGGTGCCTCCGGGCGGCTTCTGCCTTCTCACAGCACGTGTGTCCCTCCAGGGCATCTTTCACTTCCAGCTGGGTCGCGGCGAGCCGATGCTGCACACACGCGTGCGTCCGCACTGCAGGGAGTTCCTGGAGAAGATCGCCAGGCTGTACGAGCTGCACGTCTTCACGTTCGGGAGCCGGCTCTACGCTCACACCATCGCAGGTGGGCGACTCAGGCCTCGGCCACCGTGCTGGGCCGCGTGCTGTGTGGGCATGGTCCTCAGCGGGTCAGGTTTATTTCTTACTTTCAGTGACGTCCTTAACGATGAAGGGGCATGTGAAGCTCCCCCAGGTTCCATTTCGGTCCCCGAGCTAGCTCTTGCTTCCTGAGGTCAGGCTCACACCACGGGCCGCCTCAAGGTTGGTCAGCACTGCTGTGTGGGAGAGCGAGAAGTTTCTACTTAAGCCGACTCAGAATTTGATCTTGGATCCGAAACCCTCTGGAGCCATGTTGCTTCCATCTGTTTACTAACGCTCTCAGTGCAGGTGAAGTGGTTGTGAGTAAAGTGTGTGGTGACTTAGCACTAACTTGTGACCTTGGTGCAGTTGGTGGTGTGTGCTGGCCGTGTGTGGGGGCGGGTGTGGGCATCCCCAGCGGTGCCCCCCCAGTGGCCCGTCTGGCTGGGCGTGGTGCCTCGGGGGCAGCCGGGCTCCAGTCCACCGTGGCTGTCTGTGGATGTCGGCACCTGCATTGCAGTGGCTCAGAGCACCCTCATGGCCAAGTTAAGTGCTTCTAAATGGAAATGTTTTGACAGCTTGGTCTTGATCTTTGTGGACGGAGAAATGACTTTGGGATCTTCCGCTAACAGCTAGCACCTTTGTAGGCAGTTGTCATCGTGAGTACATTGGCTGTGTGTGCAAGTTCCTTCCTCGTGTAAGAAAGAACTTCCTGAGAGGTGACGTGGTGGAATCACTCTGCGGAACTCGCGTCCCGTGAGCAGCACCCCAAGTGCAGGGAGTGGTTATGTCCTCCGGTGCCCCCTCAGGCGGCCAAGCCTCCGGAGCCTTGCCATCTCTCTGGCCCTCCATTGGGAGGACCTGTGCGGGGTAGAGAAGAGAATACCTACTGGTTTAAATAGGAGGGCCTGGGGGCGCCCCTGGCGGTCCAGAGGACATTCCCGGGGCCTGCGCCCTCCACGCCCTGGGAACCCACCTCCAGAGAGGTTGCAGGCAGTTCCCCTCCCCACTGGCCAGCGTCTCCGCAGCAGGGGGGTCAGAGCCCCTCGGCTGAGCAGCGCTGAGTCCAGGGGACCCACCGTCGCCGTGTGGCCACCTCCAGCACTGGCGACGGCACCGTGCGCGTGAGAGGCCCTGGGAGGAGGCCTGCAGCCCAAGGGACAAGTGCCCCCACGTGGCTTTGAGGTGGTCGGGTCTTCAGAGGGTAGGCCGCTGGCACAGGAAGCGCGGGGGGCTGCAGTCTGGCGCTGGGCCGGTGGGCTTGGTTGTTAGCAGGAGACGGCTGGGGGCCCTGGCGTGGTTCTCACCACGGTTTCTATAGCTTCCTCTTCTGTCATTTTTCACGTTCTGAAAGTTACCACTCTCACAGTCTATAGGGTTTTTTTTTTTTTTAATGTTTTATTTATTTCTGAGAGAGAGAAAGAGAGACACCGTGAGTGGGGGAGGGTCAGAGAGAGAAGGAGACTCAGAATCCAAGGCAGCTCCAGGCTCTGTCAGCAGAGAGCGTGATGCGGGGCTCGAACCCACGAGCCGTGAGATCATGACCTGAGCTGAAGTCGGACGCTTAACTGACTGAGCCACCCAGGCGCCCCTGTAGGCTTTTAGTATAATTAGGGTACATCTATTTTTATTAGAATAAAACTATTAAGTGGTTTCAGATGCTTTTCGTTTATTGTAGAAATTCTAATAATTCTATGCATAAGCCTCAGGTTTAGTCAGCAAGTGGCATCAGTGTTTGTGTACTTAGTAAGGAGGTACATTTGTAAAGTTTTGTCTCTGAGTGTTGTCTATTCATAAATGCGCTGGATGTGCTGGTGGAGGGCTCTGTGCACGGCAGTGTGGGGCCCGCAGTGCACACACCAGGGCCCTGCGGAGCACTGTCTTTGCCGGGGGCGGGGGGTGTCCGGTGGACTCGGGGTCCCAGCCGACAGCAGTGGGTGGCAGAGGTGGGCCACGGTGCCTGCATTCACAGCCCTGCGGGGACATACCTGCAGGTGTCTCCAGAGGCATGGCCATCTCACCAGAGTGAGCGTGAGGCTGCCTGGCGCCTGGCTCCCCGCTCTGCGAACAGCTGAGGGCCCGGGGCAGCTGCACACAGGGGCACCACTGGAATTTTGGGTGCTGGCCCCTCATACGTCGCGGGACTGTGTTCATGTGTTTGTCGCCCCCGTGCACCCCAAGCTTCCCTCGGGCGTGCTACTGGGTGGTGCTCATCCTCTGTTCCCAGCCAAGTTCCAGGTAATGTTGGATCCAATAAGTGTTCAGTAAACACATGCCTTTAAACACGTTAAAAGGAGCCACGTGGATCAGTCCTGCCAGGAAAGAGAACGGCGGTCGGTGTCAGCGCGAAGCTTTGGGTCCCTGCTCCCGTCAGAATCGGCAGGGGCTCCACCATGTGCAGAGCAGGGCACCGCGGCTCACGTGTCTGACCTTCATTTTGTTTTCTTTCCAAAGGCTTTTTGGACCCTGAGAAGAAGCTTTTCTCACATCGAATATTATCGAGGGATGAATGTATCGACCCGTTCTCTAAAACAGGGAACCTGAGGTACGTACCTGGTCGCATGCGTCTCCGGGGCTCACGGAGCAGTTTCCAGCAGAAAAAGCAGCAGGCCCGTGGTTCTGGGTCTGTTCCCCCCTCCCTTTGCCCCGACACTCAGCCTGCTGTCTTCCCACCACACCCCTGCCTCCCCCCGCTCCCCAGGCATCTGGGCGGAGGTGGGCCCCAGAGAATGGGAGTCTGGGGAGGGTCGCTGAGGGACATGAGGGACAAGGGTGGTGACAAGCAAGGGGGCCCAGGGCCCTCCCCCCACCCCCCCGGGTGCCGCAGCCTGGGAGGAGGGGGTGCTGGTGTGCCAGGCTTGTGTGCTCTTAGGGGCTTGCGTGCTGTGGGTCCCACTGGCTCTTCCTCACATCTGGAGTCCTGTTCCCACCTCTCCCTGTCACCTCCGTGGGCCCCTGCCTGTCCCGCCCTGTGCTCTTACAGCGGGTGCTCCCACCCCCTCCAAAGGCTCCTGGACATTTCAGGACTTGCCCTGTTTCTCCCCAAAAAGGGAGCCCTTCCCCTCCCCCAATCGTGCTACTGTATCAGCTGTGACTCGTTGCTTCCTGAGGACACCTGGGCAGTAGCACAGAGGCCTGGGGCTCCCGCCGCTGCCGGCGTCCTTGCGGGAGGTTCCTGTGTCTCGCATGCGCGCAGCCCGATCCAGGGCCTTAGGAGCCAGGGGAGGAAACCGACGTGTTCGCTAGTTGGCGTCACACTGACGGAGAGAGAGGACGTGACTGTCACGTGCTGTCGGTCACAGTCACAGAGGCACAGGCAGCTGGGTCTCCCTTCCCAGTTTTCATCTCCCTCATGTGGAGTTCAAGGTGCCAGAAAGCGCCACTCTAGTTACTTTAGCTGCCTGCCTGCTGTTTACCTGTGGGAAGCAGACCGGGAGTAGCAGTGATCATTTCAGACACACGAACCTGCGCGTCTGGGTAGTCGTGGCCGCGGCTGCTAGAGAACCTGGTGGTGTCAGGTGGTCCTCCTGAGTTTGTTTCCAGATCCGAGAACAAATTCACTGTGAATGTTGAGTCCTACAAGCCTGTCCACAGCTCAGAAAGGTGGACAGAAATGGAATCTTACACAGCTGCGTGAGGGCACCAGGGCAGCATCTCTGCTGGCCCCGTACGTTCTGACGGCGTTTCTGGACTCAGAGAGAAACCGTTCGGATGCGCTGCAGGGACCGTCTCAGAAAGCTGAGCTGTAAGGTCATGCCCTCCAGCCTTCATCCGGAAACCTTTCCCCGGGAGGGGCAGGAGCACGCTGGCCGCAGGCCTCTTAACCTGTGACTGTAAATGTGTTTGTGGCCATCTGTGCCGGCTGCCCAGGATGGGGGCACAGCCTCCCAACGCTAACCGCTCTGCACTGTGGCCCCACAGGGAGAGTGCCGGCTCCCCCTTGACCAGTGTCACAGGCAGTGGGGGAAGTGCAGCTATTGTGGTGTGACTTCGTCTGGAAACTTTGAGAGTTTAAATAGGAGCTAAACCAAAGTCCCTGCAGTGTGATTTCCATCTGTTTCTGATTACTCTGTGACCTGTTGGCTACTATAAAAGATTATCATGACTCGTTATTCTTCGTAAAGTGTGTTAGTTCTGGTGCATTTTTACTCCTAGAAATCTCTTTCCCTGCGGAGACTCCATGGTGTGCATTATTGATGATCGGGAAGATGTGTGGAAGTTCGCCCCCAACCTGATAACCGTAAAGAAATACGTCTACTTCCAGGGCACAGGAGACATCAATGCTCCCCCTGGGTCGCGGGAGCCACAGGCGAGGAGGAGAGGTGGGTGACCTTCTGGTCGGCAGAGGAGCAGCGTGCTCAGACGTCCGTGACGCGGCTGCAGTGGGTCCCAGATTCACTTTGTTGTCATTGGTACTTCAGTGGTTAGAGACCAGCAACCACACCAGTGTTTGGTTTCCACTTGGGGTTTGTTTTTTTTTTAACAGTACTAACCCAAGTATTTTCCTGATTGAGTGAAGGTTAAGGAATTTGCTTAATTTAGTACATCTGAGTCCTGCCTGTTATCTTAGTTCTCTTTTTTAAAAAAATATTTTAATTTATTTACTTTTGAGAGCGAAAAAGAGAGATTGTGAGCGGGGGAGGGGCAGAGAGAGAGATACAGAGAATCCCAAACAGACTCCATGCTGTCAGCACGGAGCCTGAATTGGTGCTTGAACCCACAAACCTGAGAGATCATGACCTGAGCCAAAGTCAGGAGTCAGATGCTCAACTGACTGAGACACCCAGACGCCCCTCCTAGTTTCTGAAAAGACCAGCGGGACACTGGGAATTTAGCCACCGCGGTCCTTGGAAGAGCAAGCTGTGGGTCATCGCAGCTCCGGCTCATTGGTGGGTGGCGCTGGGCCCTGGCCTGGAGCTGCAGGGTGCCACGTGGGTTCGCCTGTCTGGTGAGCTTGAAGCCAGTGTCTGTCTGGAGAAGGTTTGAGGTATTTCTGATGACGTTTAGTTCATAAACAAGATGTTCTGAGGTGTGCAGTGATGCTGGAGGCCCAGACTGGGAGAAAGTGGGACCTGAGGGTGTCCCTCCAGGGGATAGATGGGTTGGTGCAGCCAGAGCAGGGCAGGGGCTGCCTCCCTGGGCCGTCCCCCCACAGCGTGGAAACCAGGAGCGTTCTGTACATTTTTAAACCATTGCAAGAAACCAAAACCAAGTGACCATCTGTGTCTAGACGGTCAGACCTCAACTATCAACTGTGCGTCCCAGGCTGGGGGCGCGGTGAGAGCAGCTGTGCGGCAGCACTGCCGTTGCTCTAACAAGCGACCGTTAAACGCTGGTCCCCTTTCCTTTTGTGTGCCCCTGTAGCGAACCAGCCTTCCAAAGCTGCCGATGTCACGGAACATGCTGCGTCCGTCAGGGAGACCGAGGAGGGACGGCAGATTTCTGGGGTCGAGCAAAGTAACGGCCTTGGGAAGCCTGCGAGGGAGCTCAACGGGGGCATCTCTCCGCGGGGGGACTGGCCCCTGCCTGGGCCGGAGGAGGACAGAGGCGCCCGGCCCACCCCCCGTGGCCCCTTGGCTGAGGGCAGGGGGCCCCCCACAGGTGCTCAGCCGCATGGTCGGACATTGCCAGAAAAGCGGCCCACTCAGGGCACGGCGGGCGGTGACCTGGACTTTGACCTTTCCAGTGACAGCGAGTCGGAGGCCCAGTCATCCTCTGATGGAGAAAGTGGGGAGAGGAGGGGCCTGGAAAGACCTCAGGGCCCACGAGATGCAGGGAGAGTGGCCCAGCGGGGGGGCCCTGCTGGTCTGGGAGGGGCGAGTCCGTGCGGAGAGCCGGCCCCAGGCGAGCACCTGGACGCGCAGGAGGAGGACGAGCGGGACGGCCTCTGCGGGCTGGGCGGCGGCTCTGCCGACCGGAAGGAGGCCGAGACCGAGTCGCAGAACAGCGAGCAGTCGGGCATCACCGCGGGCGAGTCCCTGGATCAGAGCGTGGAGGAGGAGGAGGAGGAGGAGGACACAGATGAAGACGACCACCTGGTCCACCTGGAGGAGATCCTCGCCCGAGTGCACTCTGACTACTACGCCAAGTACGACCGCTACCTCCGCGGGGACAGCCCCGAGCCCCCCGACATTCGCAAGATCGTCCCGGAGCTCAAGAGCAGGGTGCTGGCAGACGTGGCCATCATATTTAGCGGGCTGCATCCCACAAATTTCCCCATCGAGAAGACGCGGGAGCATTACCACGCCACGGCCCTCGGCGCCAAGATCCTCACTCAGCTGGTGCTGGACCCTGACGACCCTGACAGGGCCACCCACCTGATCGCGGCCAGGGCAGGTATGCGCCCCCGCCCTCAGTGCTGCCCGTGGGGCGGGCCCCTCTGCCCCTGGTGCCGGGTGTGTCTGCACTGACCTTGCGCGGCTGCTCTTCGATGGGCACGTCTGCTCGTCTCGTGGGGAATTTTCAGAAGTTTGTCCCCGCGTGGCTTCGTGTGGGCGCGTGCGTGCGCCCGCATCTCCTGGCCACCGCCACCCGCCCCCTGTGGTCGGGCTCCTCCCTCTGGCTGGGGTGGCACTCAGGGGTCAGGTGGGCACGACGGAGCCCAGGTAGCATGTCCAGGTGCTCGGTGCAGTGGCTGAGAGAGCGGCTAGGCCTCGGGGTTTGAAAACCAGACACGGGATCCGGGAGAACCAAGTACGTCGAAAGGGCTCAGAACCAGGAAAGTGAAGTCATTGTCAGAAAGTCCCCCTCCGACACTCAGGCTGCAAGGATTTCAGCCAAGGAAGTAGCTACCTGGCCACAGGCGAGTCAGGAAGAACCGCTGCTCAAAACACGCCATTACTGATTCTGCGTGGTCCTCACAGGCCGCTGGGTGCTATTTTCTGAGCAGAGACACCCCCGCTGCTCCAGGCCAGCTCCGTCCCTGCGCGTCACATCCTGTTTGACAGTCGCAGAAAGGGGCAGTAGAAGCCCTGTGTTGGTGTGAAGCGTTGGGAGACACTGACTGGGAGGGCGGTGGGCTCGCGGCAGCCCTTGGCACCCCGCATGCGCAGCCAGCCCAGAACCCCCACCTGGGCGCCCCGCCGAGGGTTCGCCTTGCCACGGACACAGCTGCATGCACGTCGGGAGATGTCCTTGTACCTCCCTCCCAGCCTGCACTTGGCCTGTCCATCCCCAGCCCGCTGTGCCTGTACTACCTGGGGAGCGGGGGGCGGGGGGGGTGGGCAGTATCCAGCAAAGAAGCCAAGAGAAGTGGCAGGAAGGGCCTCTGGGCAGCAACAGGCCGGGGCATTTGCACACACCTAGTGGGCCGTCTCAGGGAAGAGATCTTGGACAGCCGGCGTGGGTCACAGGCAGCGGGAGACTTCGCACAGAAGCAGGTGGGCACCAGGCAAGGCCCCATGGTGGGGCCCTGCTTCCCGGGGCATGCCAGGGGCAGGCCGCGCAGACAGTGAGGTGCCGGGTTTCAGACACACAGATGGCGCCCTCGCCCGCAGCCCAGGCCGAACTGACAGACCGTGTTCCTGCAGGCACGGAGAAGGTGCGCCAGGCCCAGGAGTGCGGGCAGCTGCACGTGGTCAACCCCGACTGGCTGTGGAGCTGCCTGGAGCGCTGGGACCGGGTGGAGGAGCAGCTGTTCCCGCTCAGGGCCGACTGCAGCCGGGCCCAGAGGTAAGTGCCGCCCCCACCGCCGCCCCTGCTCCCCCGGGGTCCCCGCGACCCAGGCCGGGGTCACCAGTGCTTCCAGCCCCGACACTCTCTGGCCTTAGGTCCCACAGGGAGGCTAGGGGCAGTGTCGTGGCCAGTGGTCGGGTGGGAGCCTTCCGGCCCATTCCGTGCATGTTCCGGGGGGAGGGCCCATTTTGTTTAGCGTAGCCTGAGAAACGCCGCCTACTCTCTGAGGCTGTTTTCCCGGGTGAAGTTGGGAAGCGGGTGTGGGGGGGGATCGGGGGCAGGGCAATGGCATGGGGCACTCACTGGCTGTCTTTATCTGCACAGGCTTTTGCTTGCAGTCGGGCCAAGCAGCCGTTGCTGGGTGTGTGGTCTGTTCCAGCACTTTCTCACGGCACTTGTTCTGGTCCCACAGGGAGGACGGCCCCGCGGCCTTCCCTGACAGGCAGGGCGCGCTCCCCACTGCCCTGTTCCACCCGACGCCCGTCCATCCCAGGGCCCCGTCTGGGCCGGAAGTTCGCATCTATGATGCCAACACGGGCAAGCTCATCCGGAAAGGTGCTGTGGGCCCGGGGCCCCCCGGCTCCCTGCCAGTCCACGCGGAGCACTCCTCCTTCAGGTGCGGGGGCCTGGGAGCGGGGGTGGCGGCAGCGGGCCCTCGGAGCCCCTCAGACCGTGCGCAGACCGAGAGCGGACTGAACGTGGTGCTGCTGCTGACGGGACGGGACGTCGGGGCTTGCTCTGTCCTGCGGGGGCTCGGCTCCCCTGCTTCGGCGTCGGCCTCTTGCACGCTCTGTCCCGTCTTGGTCCCCGGCCCTGGAACAGGCCCGGGTCTGGCCAGTGAGATGGCCTGCACGGCCCAGACCCGCTCTCGGCTTGTGGGCGCGGTCCCCAGCGGGCTGTTCGCCTGCAGCCTGGATCCGCGCCCTGATGTGGGCTCACCTACCCCTGCCCCGCGCCGAGGGAGGAGGGGTCAGCTCTGCCCGGTCCATCCTCTGCTCCTCTTTTTTTTTTCTTCTTTTTTTAACATTTATTTATTTTTGAGAGACAGAGGATGAACGGGGGAGGGGCAGAGAAAGGGAGACACGGAATCCAAAGCAGGCTCCAGACTGAGCTGTCAGCACAGAGCCCGGTGCAGGGCCCAAACTCACAAACCACGAGATCATGACTTGAGCCCAGGTTGGACACTCAACCGACTGAGCCACCCAGGCGCCCCTGTACTCCCGTCTTAACCTTGAAGAGTCAGGACACGTTCTGGGTCCGCCAGCACGCCTTGTGTGTTGCAGGTGTTCGTTTTTACTGCTAAGATGGAGAGCTCACCCCAGTTCTGCAGTCCCTCCGTTTGAAAGGAGCCAAACGGGAGTGCAGGACGGTGGGGTGGGGCCCACAGGGCCTTGGGGGTTAGGCCGACGTCGAGGCTCTTAGGAGGGAGGTGTTGGGCTCAGCCGTGTGGGTGCGAGTCTGCAGAGGGAGTGGGAGCCCCTCCTGTGAGGTCCGAGGTGGACACTGGGGCCCAGGAGGCCTAGAAAACAAGAACAGGGCTGGCGGAGATTTTAGAGGTGCTTCCGACAGAGTTCTGGTCAGAGGTTGTGAGACGCGCAAACGGGCCGTGGCCCCAGTTTGGTGGGAGGCCAGTGTGGCATCATGAGGAACGTGTGGGCCCGGAACTGTCAGGGGCAGCGTGAGGGGAGCCTCAGCCCAATGCGGCGCTAGGGACAGGGTGCAGGCAGAGGCCAGGACAGGAACGGGGTGGGCCAGGAGAGCAGGCCTCCGTGTGGCCGGCCGGCAGACCGCTTTCAGGTGGTGATCCGCGTGCTGCCCGGGAGGTCACAGGACCCAGTGCACCTGCCCTGCTCAGGGAGCGTGGGCAGTTCTGTGTCCCCTTAGCCGGCGTCTCCCCTGGGGCACGTGCCCTGGAGCATGCTGTGGGCCGCCTCTTACTGGGCCGATCATCCTGCTGACCACGGACAGTCACGGAAGCTGTGGGTGGAGGCCCCAACACAGTGGCCCAGTTTGTGGAGCAAAGCCAAGCACAGGGGCCCTGGGGGCAGAGGTTGGGCTTCGAAGCTGTCAGCACAGCTAGGACTTGGGACAGAGATTTTGAAGTGACAGTGTTGAGTCTTGGTTCTGAGATGTGCCCAGCGAGTGTCAGAGCCCATACCGCGCATGCGGGTACAGGACGCTGGGGAGCGGTGGATAGGCACGTGGTAGGCGGGAAGGTGGGCGTCTGGGCCCTGTGCCTGAGTCGGTGAGGTGAGGGGAACGACACTGGGGTGTCCCCTAGCTTCTTATCTTTCTTCACAGGCAGTGCTGTGACCCTCTGTGTCGATGTCCCCACTGCCAGGCTCAGCCAAGGTGGCTGATCTGCAAAGGGCAGCAAGGGGTGGTATGTCCCCTGCACCCTGGGCAGCTGGTGGTCCCGAGTCAAGTGTAACAAATTTCTGAGTTAATTGTAAGAACAAGCGTTGGAATGTTTCAGACTTAGGTTCAGGACGGTTTGGGGATTATCCAGCCTTGCTCGAGATCAGTGGAGGCACACCAGGGCTTCCGGGCTGCGGGACGAGTGGTAGTTGGGTGTTGTGGGAGCACTAGAGGTGGGCATGGACGTGAGTCAGGCAGGGCACTGCTCTGTTATGGGGAACACTGACGGTCGAGCAGCACACAGCCGCCCGCCCGTTCTCACGTGTGTGTGGTGTACGTGAGCAGGTTCCCAGGACTGAAAACCTGCGCTTTGACTCCGTCGTTTGGGAGGAAGACATGCTGTGCTATAGTTTATTCGGAGGTGGCTCTTGTTGGTGAAATTTTCTTCTTTTTTGAAGTTGGAAGTGTGATTTCTACCAACCGTTAATTGCATTATTGCCAGTCTGTGTCAGTGTCTAATGACCGTCTATAGGATTACTAACAGGGACGGTTAAATCCTATTAATCAGGGAAGGGTGGTGGGAAGCACCATCGCTGTGGTGATGCCATCAGGGGCCCGTGAGGCTTTTTTTAGGTAACTCTTGTCGTCTTGTGTTTACTGCATTTTTTTTTCGTGTGTAGGAAACTATACATTCTAAATGTAACGAACGTTGGTAGAATTTATTGATAGATCCGTTTACGGAATTGATGAGATGACCCGTTTACACGAGGAAGGTGATGCCCATCTCAGCCACAGAGGAAAGAGGAACAGGAGGGGCCCGGCACACGAGCATTTGTGAGACCCCGTGCGTTGTTTCGTCTTTGTGGCCGTAGAGTAAGGGCTTCCTTTCCATTGAGACCTGTGTGTGTGAGTTCATGTTGTGCCCCACCCACCTGTGTCTGTGATCCTCCTGTGTGCCCGCGGCCACCCGGGCACCTCCACCCCCAGTCCTCGCAGATGGGACTGCGGGCCACGGGGCCCCTGCAGCTGTGTGTCGAGGGCCGCGGGATGGAGGGCCCGAGAACGGTGGCTCGGCGCCATTCCGAGCCTGGAACCCTGTGAGGACCCCATTGTGACGGGGCACCTGGGGCTGTGGGTGCGGACGCTGCTCCGTGCGCTTGTCTGACTGAGGCCCCGAGGATTGTGAGTGTCCGTCCTCCTTGCTTTGATGTTTCTGGGTCAGGGCTGGGGACCTGACTCAAGGTCAGAGCTCCTTGGGGCTCTCCCGCCATCCCGCATGTTCATGAGGGCGTTTCTTCCCCATGAGATGCTCGTGCGCGGAGCACTCGGGGACAGCGTGGGGTAAGATAGGCTCATCCCGGTCGCTGGGTGCATCCGCCTCGGGCTTCCCCGGCGAGGCCCCTGGCGCAAGTGGCGGTGAAGGGCAGTCCCGGTCTGGGGCAGGGGTGAAGCAGCCGGGACCACAGAGGAGCAAGGTGCTTGCCAAGCTGTCCGTCGGAACTTCCCTCCTGCCCTGGGGACGGAGGACCGAACTCAGAATTACTTTGTGCTACTAGTTGTGAGCGTTTGGGGGGTGCGTTGGACGTCGTGGTATGAGCCGCTGACCCGCAGGCAGTTGTCAGAGACGCGGAGCGGCCCCTGTGCCCTTCAGCCAGGGTGCCTGGCCGTGGCGTCTTCGCAGACCTGCGGGCCCGTCTCACAGACACCCGGCCATGGTTCTCTCGTGGTCAGAACCCCGCCGGCAGGGCTCCTGATGCCCCTCTCGCTTCCACCCGCTCCCCGCCCCTCACCGGGGTACGTGGCCCCCGCTCGGTGCGGTGCAGGGCCTCCGTCTCCACTGCCGCCGCATTGCTGGCTTTCCCGTCTCACAGCCGAGCAGCGTCCTGCTGAGGACAACAGCAGGGGTGTGTCCAGCCCCGGGTGCCGCCAGGAGGGTGCTCCCAACCTTGGTGTCCACGTCCGCGTCACCAGCACCGATGCCCAGGGTGCAGGTGCTGAGCTGTGTGCCACCTGTGGTTTTATTCAAGGGTGGCGGTGCCCTCGTCCCACCGGCGGGGCAGGAGGGGCCCGTCCCCCCCGCCGCTGCCAGCCCGTGGTGTAGGCGCCATTTGTCACTGCAGCCACTCGACCGGTGCGTGCCCTCCAGGGACGCGCTGTCCTGAAGTTTTGTGTCTTGTTCTGGCAGTTTCTTAGCTGTTCGTTTCATACTTGAGGCCATGATGCACCCTGAGTTTCTGCACAGGGTGTGAGATTTTGGGGTGGGGTCGGGTTTGCTCCCACCCAGCCCTGAGTTGTGTGTCGGGGGTCGCCCGTGCAGGCCTGTTCTGGGTTCCCCCCTGGTCCCTCGATCTGTGCACATTTTGGCCTTTCCTTGATCTTAAGGTGAAAACATTCCATTTTTCACCTTCAAGTATGATGTGGGCTGTAGGTTTTCTGTGGATGCTTTTTACCAAACTGGGGAAGTTCTCTCTCTTCCCATATTTCTGAGAGTTTTTATCCTGAATGGGTATTTTTTCCAGATGCCTTGTCTGTACTGATACCACATGGTTTTTTGTCTTTGGCCTGTCGTTCGAATTGTTTCTCTTGCTGGCTGAGTAACATTTCTCTCCGCTTTCAAGACTTTCTTCCTTGTCTTGAATAGTAAGTTTGACAACAAAGCGTCTTTTTGTGGATTTGGAGGTTTGTCCTTTTTGGATCCACTCAGGCTTCTTGAATCTGAACGTTTAATGCCTTTTGCCAAGTTTAGGATGTTTCCAGCCCTGTTCTCTGAGGACTTTTCCAGCTCTGTCCCCATTCTGGGCTCCTGGACACAAGTACTGAGTCCTGTGTTCTTAAGGCTCTTCCTTTCTCCCTTCTCAGTCTGTCTTCTTCCTGACACATAGGAGCCATTTCTCCTGTGCTTTCCGGCTCTGTCCCCCTCACTGTGACTCGGAGCCCGTCCAGTGCAGTTTTAAATTTTCGGTTATCAGCACGTGTTCATTCTGATGACTGAATGCTGCCGCCGTGCCAGGCCCTCTGCTCTCCCAGCCCGGTCACCAGCGCTTGGCGTCGCGTGGAGGCGCCCTCTGCGTGGCGCCCTCCCCCGTGCCCGCGGGTGCGCCTCTGCTGGCTCTCCTCCTGCAGCCCGAGGGCTTTCTGTTCCTGGTAAGACGAGTGGTTTTCTTTTCTTCTTTTTTTTTTTTTTTGTCTATTAGAGAGAGAGAGAGAGAGAGAGAGAGAGAGAGAGAGAATCCCAAGCAGGCTCCAGGCTGTTAGCCCAGACAGAGCCTGATGAGGAGCTCAATCCCATGAGCCATGAGACCAGGACCTGAGCCGAAACCAAGAGCCAGGCTTACCCGACTAAGCCAGCAGGTGCCCCGCGGGTGGTTGAAACGTGGACGGTCTCACAGCTCATGGTGAGAGCCGGGACCTTACTCAGTCCCCGTGCTAGGCCGCCTCCCTCCCGCTCTGCTCCGGCAGCGTGGTGGAGGCCCCTGTCCCTGGGTGGGGAGCCTGGGGCCGTCGCTGCTCCCAGGCCGAGGGGTCGCCGGCTGCCCCCAGGTCACCGCAGACACAGGGTGGTGGGTGTTCATGTTACCGCCCCTTCGTTCATAGGCGAAGGTGGACATCTGACTCTGACCCCTCCCAGCCTGGGGTGGGAGTCTCGTTACTGCAGGGTGGGGTCCAGGCCCCCACCCAGCAGAGTCTCCACGGACACTGCATAGTGGGGGGTGCTCGTGACCGGCTGGGTGGGAGGAGGAGCCTGACCCCCACTCTGAGCTGTCTCAGACCAGTGAGGGGGTGTGGTTTGCAGCGTAGGCCGGCCCAGGGGAGCAGTGACTGGAGGGGCCCTGCTGTGGGCTTCTCCTGGAGAGAGCAGGCCAGTCTTCGGGCTTGGGGTCTGCTCGCTGGTGTTCAGCGTTGCTGGCTCCTGCCCTCTGCCGTCAACCCTGCAGGTGGGGTCTCCACTGGCACCCCAGGAGGGTGGCAGAGGCCCAGCTGCCTTCCTGGGGGTGGAAGTCCGCTTGTGATTCAAAACGGACCGTGAGTCTTCTGTGTTTTATTTCCTCTTGCATTTACGGTCCCGTTTTGGGGAGCTGTGCAAGCAGCACGGTGTGGGGGCCTGCAGGTGTCGGGAAGAGGGAGCTCTCCGCCCTGGGGGTTCGTCCACAGAGCTCGCCACGTTAGACGTCGAACTGAGCCATCTGGGAGATACTCGTTCACACGTGTAACGAGAGGAATGGCTTTTTTGCACTTCTTGTGACTCTCTCTGGCCTCTGCACCGCCTGTTTCCGCCCTCTGATAGAGACACAGGAAGAAACTCTGCCTCCTCCCATGTGGCCTATCCTTGGGGTCGGGAGACACCCCGAGGGGCACTGGGGGCCCTTGACTTAGTGGCCGATTCGGCATCTTACGTGATGAAGAGACTCGCCCCCTTGTGAGGGACAGCGCCCCGGAAGTGGGCCAGCCCTCACGCCCTGGGCACCAGCTCTCCCTCCAGCGCTTCGTTTGTCCACGTGTCACGTTTGGTTAAAACTGCAACCGCTTTTCCGAAGGGAGACTGTGGCATGGCTGCTTTCAGTAAGAAGATAAGTGGCTGTGTCCCGTGGTCGGCCCAGGGGCCATGGCACTGGCGAGGCTCGCGTGTCAGGACGGCGCAGCACGGGTCCCCGTGTCTGTCCCTTGAAGTCCCCCTTTCATTAGACACATGGCTGCTGCTTGACCGTGTTGTGGTTTAGACTTCGTACCCGCGTCCTCCTCAAAGTCAGGAGGTTCTGCCGCGTCGTCGGGGTCTGGGGGAGCGGGTGTGTTCGGGGGGCAGGGGGCAGAGGCGTCCTCCTGCCCGTCTCGGGCCGTGGCCCGCCTGTCGTGTGTGCTCCGGGCCTGCCACCGACACGGGTGCGTGTGCCAAGGGTGCCGTGAGAGACTGCGGGGCCCAGCATGGGACCGGCTCCGGGGAAGAACATTCTGGAAGCGCTCACTGGTCTCTCATGTTCATATTTGGTTGACGGACATAACTGTGCAGACGAGTGCCGGGTCATGTTCTCCAGTCCCTGGGTGGACGGCACACCGACTTCAGCCCCGCACAGCCCGTCACTCCGCTTTGCCAGCATGTTCCTTCTGTTCTGGGCAGAATAGAGACACATGCTGGGTTGGTTTAGTGTTTTTAAAATCTTACAGCTTGCTCGACTTTATTTTGAGGATAGGTACCTTTCTTGCTGTTTTCTGGGGAAGTGACACTAGCTCTTTACATTTTGCCCTTCACTCCGAGCCAAAGGACCCAAACGTGGCGGTGCCGTGCCGGCGGGGACAGGAGGTGTCTGCTCTCAGCCGGAGAGAAGTGCACACAGGGCGGTGGAGGGACGATGTGGCTCTCGCGACTCCATGCTCTCTGTGCTCGTTACCTGTCCATGTCGCGCGGCCGTGGAAGCCTTTCCTCACAAGGGCCCTGTGACCTTTGTTTCAGAGTGGTTCAGCCGCCACCACAGATGCTCGCCCAGGAGCTGCCGGACACCCGACGCGGGGAGCGGCCCGGCCCCGGCGGAAGGAAGCGACAGCCCAGCATGTCCGAGACCATGCCTCTGTACACGCTGTGTAAGGAGGACCTGGAGAGCATGGACAAGGAGGTGAGGCCAGGGGCAGGGCACCCACTGCGCTCACGCACTGCCCGCGCTTGCCCGGGGATGCGTCCACTGGCAGATTTGGTGCAGCTTAGGGTGATGCATCAGGCCATCTGCAACATTGGAAAGCCTGGCTGCGACCCACAGAGGTGGGGGGGGCGGGTGCCAGGGCTGCTGGCGGCCTGCACTGCCCAGCAGGAGACCCAAGATGACCTTCTGCCCGGGCCACAGCTCTAAAGCACAGGTCACAGTCGGCAATTCACGGTAGGATCTTGTTATTACGCCACTAAATAGTTTTGGGCGACAACAGTGGAATTTTTGTTTTTTCAGATGCTTAAGCGTGGGAATGATAATAATATGGTCCTGAGTCCGTTTTGAATTGGAGGTTAAATATGGTAGGGATTGCCTTTCGGGACAAAACCACTAAACCGCAGACAATTTTGTAAGTCCGTTTGTCATCTTACAAAAAGATGAGCTCCTGCTCATCTTCAGAAATGAGCCTGTCCTGAGTCCCGCTGGCTCCTGGGCGCCATGGCCCCTGCTGTCCTGCGCCAGCCAGTACCCTTGACGGGGGGCAGGGGTCCCTCCCGTTGGGGTTTCCGTTTGTCTGTAGCTGGTTCCTGCAGCATCAGTGCAGAAAGCTGTGCGTCCAAGTGAACGTCACACCGGGCCGGCCTCTGCTTGGGACGGAAGCCGTGCTCTGGCTGGCCCCACGGCAGCCTCAGTGTCTGCTCCGGCACCACGCGTGCTCAGTGCTCCTCGCCACCGCTGGAAGGGCACACGTGTAGAAAGCGTGTTTTAGTTTATCTTCAGCAGGAAACGTAGGCGGTCACGTTTAATACAGAACATTACAGCGAGTCACCTCGTCCTCTGCAGACCCCCGTTTGCCCACGGTGTTGGACCCTGTCCACAAATGTGTGGGTCTCCCCTCTGCCGTGCCTGGATATTTGGCTGGTGTACGTGCTTTCTGCTGATGTTTCCTAAGTGTTTTCTCCGGGAGAATTTTCTCAGCACTGCTTTTTCATCTGTAAGCCCAGACTGTTGATCTAGGACGTTGCGGACCTCACAGAGACCTGGGGCAGAGGGCGCCGGCACGCGCCTCCCCTGGCCGCCCTGCAGACGTGCACAGACCAGTCTGCTAGGCGATGACGGTAACTTTGGCACTTGTTTCTATCAGGGGAGATTGGAATCTTCATGTGAAATAAAAGTGCCAAATGGAACTTTCCGTCACTCTGAGAGAGAGAAAAATGAGCCTTCACGCCTCAGATCTGAGTCCCCTGCGGTAGGAGGCGGCGAAGGCCAGAGCAGCCCCACACGTCCGAGCCGGTGAGCTCCGGGCTGCAGTGGGCGTAGAGGGCCGTGTCCCCTGAGCCCCACAGCGAGGCGGATGCCGCGCTCGGGCGCTGACACTCCGCCCCTGCCCCTCTTCCCGGACCCCTGCTTCTGGGGAAGCTCGGCGGGCCAGAGGCCGCGGGGACGTGCATGCGCTCGGCCGCGCCTGTGGTGTGGCGGGGACACTGCCGGCACACGGCCAGGGCTGGAGGCACCGTCCTGAGCACCTGGCTGCCAGGGGCCCGGGTGGTGTCGGCAGCTTTGTGCCAGGCCAGGCGGGGACGTCCTGGACAGCGTGTGCCCCTGACAGGAGGGACACCCAGGTGTCGGAAGATGCCCGTTGCCGCTCGCGCCCCTGTCACCGTCGTCGGGGCGTCAGAGACACGCCGCCCCCGCGGACCCTGGGCTGGGCCCCGCTCCGAGCCCGCAGCCGCCTCACCGAGTCTCGTGAGCTGCGCTGCACTCCCGCGGACCTGGCCTTGCGATGGGGAAGGCGGGCAGGGCGGGCGAGGGGAGGAGCTGTGACGGAGGCGCCGCGCTCGCAGGTTTCGTAGCTGCACAGAGGGAAGGAAGGGAGGGTGAGGCTCCTAGAGATTCTGGAACAAATCTTCGGAGAGAATCCCAGGAAGCTTCCCGAACCCTGGAGCCACTTGTGAAAGGAGGGGGCCCCGTTTCCGCCGCTGACGTGTGGGACCGCTGTTGCTTTCTGGCGGCCCTGGCCCTCCTGGGGTAACTCGGGGTGGACTCCTGCTCCGCTGTCATCCCGGGCTCCGTACAGGTCGGTGCACCTTGGAGACTGAAGCGGCGTGCCTTCTGTGCGTTTGTACTTGGGTTTATCAGGAATGTTGAGCTGAGTAACAAAATATCTCTTCTATCAGTTCATTAGTGTGGTGTTTCCCTACGTTTACTTGAAACACGGTTGGGTTCTAGAAGCTGTGAAATCTGTCTGAGATCCCCTGGCGCGTTCCATGCACCCCGCAGGTGACTCTTACTCCCTGCAGTAAGTGAAGGGTCCCGGGAAATGTGACGAGAAACGGGAGCTTCCTCCCCGGTGCTGCATCCTGAGGTCCCCATGCCCACCCACACCGTGTCCTGATGCCCCTGAGCTGCCCTCTGCACTCAGAGCCCACTGTGGTTGTGTTTCTTTAATCCACTAGAGAGGGCCCTTCAGGTAGCCTGTCGTCAGCACGGACAGGCACTCTGCAGCAGGGTGTGCCGAGGCAGGGTCCCTCAGAGCCCTGTCTGGGCCCAGGCGCCACCTCCAGCCCCCAGCAGCCCCGGTCCCCTTCCTTCTGTCCCCCTTCGTGCCGCTGCCGAAGCTCCGCTCAGGTCACCAGGAGGCACAGCTCACCGGTGACAAGGTGCTCTAGGCCCCGCCTTGTCACGCAGCAGGCATCGTGCTGGCGTTTCAGACCAGCCTCCTTGCAAACCAGGATCTGAGACCGAATCTTGCGGTTACTGTTTCCAGACGGTCCTGAAACCACAGCAGTGCCCTTAGCCACGCCTCCTTTGTGCAGCTTTGGTCCCGCCGCACTCCACACGCAGCAGCAGAGAGTCAGCGGCAGCCCGGTGGCACCTCCCACGCTCCGTCCCTTCCCTTCCTGCGGGAGCCCGAGAGGAGGAGGGCGGGTGCAGCTACGCGAGAGGCCGCGTTGACACAGCGCTTACCAGTGTGGCACTGCGATGGCCGCCTTCACCGTCAGTTACCGTGAACCGTGTCAACGCGTGTGTGGCTTCAGGCCTCCCCGGGGCGGGGGGGGGGGGGGGCCAGCGTGCCCGCACGGACAAGGGAGGGCCTGCTGTGCACGCGTTTCTAGCGTGCTGCCAAATGGCTGTACTTGGCGTGTCCTGGTTTACACAACAGAGCGCTTCCAAGGCTCAGTGACCTGGCCGTGTGCTGTGGTTCACACTGACGTGCCGGGTGTGCCCGCCCACGTGTTCACGCTGCGGCAGCAATTTCGTGTCCGCGTGAGGCGGTGAGCCTTGTGGTGCAGATGCCGTGGTTTTGTGGAACCTGTAGGTTTGTTTCTGATCAGCACGTCTGGTGGGCGCATGCCTCGTGTCCCGCCTGTACGTGGAAGTGGGGCGTCAGCCATGGACGTGCTGGTCGGGGCGTTAAAGGCAGTCCCACCCGAGCTAACCGAGTGTCCCCGGGAGCCACATGACCCTGAGAGTCCACAAGAAGCAGGCGCACCAGTATCCGTCCATGTGAACAGTTACGCTCGTTTCACCGGGCGAGGGTTCACACGATCGTGGGGCGCTGCTGGCTGGGGGCTCCGCCTGAGGCCGCACACGCCAGCGCGGGCCCCTGCGTCAGGAGCAGCGTCCCACCCCGGACGGCAGGCCTGCCCTTCTGGCCACAAGTACACATCCTGAGTAAAATGGGCACGTGTCCGTTGGCTTCAAGACGTTGAGATGAAGTCCCAGAAGCTCCCAGGGACTCCAGCTTGGGGGGGCAGTTGGGGGCACTTGCAGGTGCGTCTGTGACACTGCTGTAGTTTTGTTTGTGGGTTGGTGAAGAATGCATTCGTGGTGTTTTATCCAGAGCAGGACCAGTAAGGGTGGTGGGGCACCCTGCCCTGCGTCCCCGCGGCGTCCCCGCGCCGGTGTGCCTGCCGCGTCCCCGCCTTGTGTCTCACAGGCGATCTTTATTCGTCACGTGTGTTCGTTTTAAGCAAACAAACGACGAAAGTGCAGAATGGAGTCCTCACTGCCCGCTCCGAGGCTGCTGAGCAGTTTTTGTGGTGTGATGTGTGGGTATGGCTCCAAAATAGAAAAGTTCCGCCCTTCAAGTTAAAATGTACAATTTATTTTGAAAGTTAAAAGTTTAATATTCTTTAAGACAAAATTCGCTTAGGGTCCGATAAGTAAGGAAATGAAGCATTAGCTGTAAATAACCAAAGGCCCAGTCCATGGTGCCCCAGCGCACGCTTGAGAGGCACAGGGAGGAGGAGCAGATTAGCACCGGCCTGGTGCTGGGCCAGGTGGGTGAGCCACCCGCCCCCCCCCACCTCCGGCCCCCATGAGGTCTGCAGCCAACATCCACGAACAAACAGCAGGGCCCTGGGGGCACCCGGCCAGTTCAGTTGGGAGAGCATGTGGCTCTTGATCTCAGGATCGTGAGTTCGAGCCCCATGTTGGGCGTAGGGCTCACTTTTTTAAAAAGAAAAAAATTCCTTTGAGAGAGAAGGAGGGAAGAAGGTAGTCATGGAAGTCAGCACCCGTGCAGCCAGGAAGACCAAGCGGTGCTAGTGGGGCTTTTAGGCTTTTTTTCTCCTGTGTCCGTGGCTCTGGCCCTCATTTCAGGGGGGATGTGCGTCTCTCCCATGGCTCTGCTCTGGGTCCGCCCCTGTTACGGAGCTGTGTCTCCACTCGGGCCGGGGACAGGAGCCTGGGGCCGAAAGCGCATGGACGGAGGCTCCTTTCTCTGCTTCTTTTACCCGGGTCGCCCGGCCACACCATGTGGGGCCACAGCTCGGGCTCTCAGAGAAGGGCACCCTGAGTCTGCATAGGAGCCGACCTGAGCTCCAGGCTCACCCCCAGGGGCACAGATGTGGGACAGACAGCATCCACGGAAGGTGAGGCAGAACTTTCCATCTTACCCACCCTGTTCAGGCTGACTCTGCTAAAACGCAAGCGCGCATTCAGGGTGGTGGGAGGCAGATGCGGCATCG